GGCTGTGTGCAGGCACTGCAGGGGCTGGCTTACAGCAGCCACATCCCTCTGGAAGGCATCTCCTGGCTCCTCTGTGCCTCTGTGTCCCCCTGGCACCCAGCTGTGCCTGCCAAGCAGACTAGCATCCCTGGTCATCTTTGGGAGCAGAGCTCCTGCCAGGAGCTGCTGGAATGCTGGGGTCCCTCTGCAAGACTGGTCTATCCCAGGCAGGGCCACTCCAGTGGGGCTGCAAGCCCACAAGCTGCACTCCCCTTTCACTGCATCTTTTCATGTGCTTTAAGATTTAGCTCAGGCAGAACTATTACATCTCCAGAATTTCAGGCCTATATTCAGAAAAATAGAAATATTATATTGTTTGGCAGCCTCTTTTATCAGCCCTGTCTTTTTCCAAACTGATGCTCACAGCTTTTTAAGTCATTCATCTGCAGGAGGTTGTGTTCTGTGCTGCTGCTGGTAGTCAGGTGAAAGGGTAGTTAAAGAAAAAGGTATTTTGAGAGAGGTAGAAATAGCTGTCCCCTCCAGAGACAGTTAATTGCAGTGGTGATTGCACACCCCACAAGAAGAGGAACATGTTCAGGAAGTCTCAGGGCAGCAATGTCCTCCTGAGGTCAGAGAAGCAGCAAGTAAAGAGTCCCGTAAGTGTGGCTTCCCAGGACAGCTTGGGAGAGGCCCTGAGCTCCCTGCTTTCCTAATGCCACTGTGTCACTTCAGCCTTGCTGCAGGTTTTTACAGGAGAAAACATTAAACACGCCAGTCTGCTGTGATCCCTGCATGATCCATGTCAGGAACACCTCCTGGGTGCTCCCAGCTTTGCTTGCTGTTTGCAGCAGCTCTGTCAGGCACATCCTCCACATCCCCCAGGAGCCTCAGAGCTGAAGGGGAAATCTGAAATACTCCTGATGCAGAGCATGGAGAGACATTGCAAAGTTAGTGCACCTACACATGCCTCCAAAGAGAAATGCTGAATAAAAATCCACCTTGATGTGCTCTTGAAGGCAAAAGCCTTCTAAATGCAGCCTGTGCCCATGATTTATAACAATGACTCATAATATTGCATTATACTTAATATGATGTAACGCTGATGCAAGATGCCATTTGTGGAATTTCAATGTCACAGGGAAAAAGAGAGGAGAGAGCAGTCTGGTCATGTACCTTGCCATGCTGTCAGAATGAAATGCTTACAGCCAGAATGTGTAGAGCCTTTCAGTATCTACTTCGTTATTTTTTAGCAGGATAACCTGGAGAATAACATTTCTGTTTCCTGGAGTATAAATATTTCTCAGACATACATTATTGTGTTACTTACAGTAATTTAATCAACTTCATATTTGAGAAGACAAATTTGCTAACAGACAATTCAGTCTTGCAATTATACCCCCTCACATGGAAGTTTGCAGGGCAAATAAGGATTATGCCTTTAAATTAATTGAAGCTTTATCTCCCTTTTCTGACCCAGCTGTTATGAATTCTCCTCCTGTTCTCACTGTACTGCTTGCTCCTTCCTGCAGTGAATCAGCACTTCAGGAAACACTAATTCAAAGAGGAAAGACACCCTAAACTCTGCTTCTGAAGGTCAGGAATCGCTGCTCTCCAGCAGGTTTGACAAATGAGGTGAGGCTCTGGGGCTGCTCAGGGCCACTTTGGGGGGGTGTTGGTGACCCCTGCTCAGAATTCTGCCCCTGCCCTTCCAGCAGCCCGAGGAACTTGTGCTACACAAGTGAGTCCTGCTGGATTGTCCCCAGACAGACAAACAGAGTCAGAGCCTGTCCTTCAGCGTAGGGAAAGCTGGCCTGGCTGCAGGAGCCATGGGCAGCCCTGGCTGTATTTGTGGTGGGAGCAGCTGGGAATGGCTCCTGTCCCCCCTCTGCTCCCAGGGCTGCTCCTGGCTGCATCCTGGGCGTGCCCGGGGGTTTCCAGCACTGCACGACCCGAGCTGTTCAGCAGAGGAACAGGGATGTTCTCTACCCCTGACCTTTGAAATCCTCCACATCTGACACCCTTGGTTGTCTCATTTCCAGCAAGAGCTGACAGATTGAGGAATTACAGAGTATCCTGAGCTGGAAGGGACCCTCAGGGATCACCCAGTCAACGCTGGCCCTGCAGAGACATCCAACAATCCCACCCTGGGCATCCCTGAGAGCCTTGTCCCAAGGCTCCTGGAGCTCTGGCAGCCCTGGGGGCTGTGCCCATTCCCTGGATAACTGTACCCCTGCTCTGACAGAGCTGTGTGTTCAGGATGTTCAGAGGCTGCTGCTGGCACCCCAGGGAGCACTGAGACATTGCCTGGGTAAAACAGGACTGTGAGAGGCTGGAAAGCCTTGACCTGAGGTCTCCCCAAATCCTGGATCAGGCTTTCCCTGGTGGTTCTCTGTGGGTTCATACCCTGCAGACCCTTCTGTGCCCAGTGCTCCCACTAAGCCCAGCAGAACATTCTCACCCACTGAGACAGAATGGATGATTTTACCAGTGGTTCTCAAGAAGACAATTCGATATTGATAGATCTGTGCTTTCTAGAGTGCATCCTGAACCACGTGCATCAGGTGTCACCTTGAAGAAGGACCCTGTCACAGGTGAGCACCAGGTGAGTGGGCACAGCACAGTTTCACATTGCAAGCCAAAGAAGTAGAAAGGACTGAATTTTGAACAGCATTGCAATGCCTACAGGTGCTGGTAAGAAATCAATAAGAATTGATTTATTTTTGGAAGCCTGGTAGGTGCCAGTCTGTCTCCCAAGTGCATAAATATCATCAAAACCTAGCCATGGGCAAGTGAAACAAGACAAGAATTTGTAGCCCAGAGGAAAGCCACCATGAATAGATTGTTTGGAGGCTGATAAGATCCATACTGCTCCAAGATGGAGTTCCACCTCACAACAAGGCTGTCTTTGTTGTGGAAGAGTCAGGTTGTGAGAGTCCTGGCATGCCAAATACCTGTAATGGCCTCCCCTGCCAATTGTCTTTAAATACTGTGATCTTTCACACAGGAGCAAAGCCTGAAAGAAATCTCTCTAGCAAAAACATCATTTATTCATTCTCTACGGGACAGTGGAGCAACAAGCCTCTCCTCAGTCCTGTTACTCTTTCTCTCCCCTGCAGATTTCAAGCAGAGATGTGTTCAAACAAAGATGGGTAATTTTGCTCTGTGAGGATGCAGGAAGAAGTGCAGAGCTATCTCTAGATCAGAGCAGTTCCTGAGCCTGCTGGAAAAATGGCAGATGGCCAGAGATAGCACAAACCACTGCTCTCCCAGATTACAATGTGGAGAGCTGAACCTTCCAGGCACAAGCTTCCAGGACAGCAAATTGTGCACAGAAAGGTGAGAAACACGAGGAGCCTGGCAGGGAGGCTGGGGAGGCTCCTGGAGCCAGCCTTCCCACAGCCACCTCCAGCACCAATGGCCCTGCTCTGCCCACGGTCCATACCTGGGGGATAACCGAGGTAAAAAATGCATCTTTTCTATTGCTCTGCATTTTTAAGCTTTGCTTTGGGGAAAAATTTCTGGCCAGTAGGCAGTTCCAGCCATGTTTGCAGTCTGGTGTAGGCTGCTGTGTCATTTCCTGGGAATCTTCTACTGCCAGCACCCATCAAATACAAGCAGACCTTTCAAGGCAGTAGCTGTGCCACAAAGGTGAAACTCCTCTGCTATTTTTTGTTTCACTGGGTCTGTGCTTGTACAGCAGAACAGACTGTAGGGGTTGGTGCTTCACCAAGCTTTTCAGGATATGCCTTCATGCTACCAGAAGCTAAGCAATAAAGATCTCAGAACCATTCATTTTGCAAATATTAATGCTCAATTCTTGAGTTATTCTCAGAATTCAGGGTTCATTTTGCCAGTGTTGAAGCACAAGTTTTGCCACCACAGAGCCAGACAAGGCATTTAGGATACTACACAGAGTAAAACCTAGAATCTCACCTATAGAACTCCTACAGTAGCATTAAATTAAAGAAGGGTTAGGCTTTTGTTTGGGGTGGAAATGGCTTTTCTTCAATACAATCTGCCTGGCTCCGGCATAACTGGAGATGTCTCAGAGCCTACAGGTAATTACCACAACAAAAATAGCATCCACAAATTAACTGCTGCTCCCAACTTCCTTCTCCTATTTGCCTCTAAGTCACACTCACATGATGCTGGAATCAGGACTATTGCATAGGAGGAGGTAAAAGGAGAGCTGAGGAAGCAAGGATTGACATCCCTGAGAGATGGGATCAGCAGAACTCCTGCAGGGAGAGCCCTGCTGGGCTGTGCCCGGGCTGTGGGGAGCACACAGACAGCCCTGGCTATTCCAGCTGCTGGAACTGGAGCCACAGCCCCGCTGGGACTGCCTGGGAATGCCCGGCCCGCAGGGACCTGGGAGCAGGGCTCAGAGCAGGCTCCTGAGCCTGGCCCAGCTGCCCCTGGAGATCCGACACACGGCCAAGGCAGCAAATCCGGTGTTCAGCGCCTGGGATCCCCAGGAATCCTGGCTGTGGGAGCTGCTGGGGTCCTGCCTTCCCCAGCGCTGCCTCGGCAGCAGCTGCTCTCGGTCCCAAAGGATGGGGTGGGTGGCAATGCTGCTGTGCTGAACCCAAATCCGAGTCACAGTGGGACACGGAGTGACAAAGGGCTCAGGCCGGGCTCTCGCTGCTGAAGCCTTTCCCTCCTTTGCAGGGGCGGCTCTCACACAAAGAGCAACGTTTGAACAGCGGGGTTGAAAATGATCCCTTTTCAGCTGAGTGAGACATTCATGTCTGAACCTGACAAGACTCCTGCTCACCCACACAGCAGCAGGCAGCTTGTTACCAGAAGTACCGTTTGACTTCCCAGATAAAACACTTGTTTGATTTTTTTTTTTTCCTTTCTTACAGCTGCAAAGAGTAACATTTAGACAAATGCTTGACGAGCAGACGGCCCAACAACCTGCCGAGGTGCCTGCTTGTGTGCTGTGAACGATGGCAGCACGGCAGCGCCGCGCAGGGCACCGTCCGGCCCCGGGGCGGGCACGGGGACAGCGGAGCACTCACCTTGCGCCCGGCCTCGTTGTTGTGCAGGTTCATGAGCGTCCTGGCGTTCTGCTTGATCTCCCGGGCGTCCACGAAGACCTTGGCGAAGCCGATGCCGTAGCGGATGTCGGCGGAGCAGCCGCCCCATTTCCAGCCCTCCTCCTTGTGGTACTGGCCCTGTTTCTCCTTGTCGCAGCCGCAGTCGCTGAGGTTGCCCTGCGTGCAGGCCGCCGTGATGGCGTGCGCCACGCCGGCCGCGATGATGGCGTAGGTGAAGGCGGCCTCCCTGCTCCCTGCAAGGCAGAACGGCCGTGAGCGGCGGGCACGGAAACGGCAGGGGAACGGCACACAGCACCCTGGAAATGCTGGAAACTGCTCCATGAACGGCAATGCTGTGGGCACACAGCACCCTGGAAATGCTGGAAACTGCTCCATGAACGGCAATGCTGTGGGCACACAGCACTGCCTGCTCCATGAACAGGGCTCTGCTCCATGGGATTGACCTGCTGCGTCCTCATCCCTAAAGCCATGGCTCTCCATGAGGCATGGGGAGGTCAAGGGTTGTTCAGGCTGATGCCTTTGGAGTTTAACTTTTATATGTTTCAAATCCTGTACTGATCAATGTATAACTCTAAATGCCATACAGAGTGTTAGTTACCGTCTCTGCGTTTTGGTCAGACAAAAAATCCCTCTAGGCCTGAAACTCAAGGACATCCTCCAGCCTCAGGCCATGAAAAGTATAAACAAAAGTGAACGGGGAGGAGGAAACTGGGGGTAAACGACTTAAATATCTGCAGCTGTAATTGAAGAATTAACCCCTGATATATAAATGGGCCAAACTTATAATTGTCTGAAAAGCTCGTGACCACCGTCCATTCTGGGTGCAGCCTCTGGGAGGCCTCTGGCTGCCCAAGGTGTCCCTGTTAAAGGCCTTCAATAAATACCCACTTTATTCTCTTTACCTTGCCTAGCCTCTGTTCTAGGGGGGCCACTCCAAGGCATCAAGCCAGCTTCATCTCTGTATTTCCAGATGCTATTAGAAGTAGGCAAACTAAACTTAAACCAGAAGGATGGGGTGGAAAATGTTAGAGCTCAAAAATAAAGAAAGGAAAACAAAAGAGGTGGTCTTGGGGGTTAAATTTTGAAAGCACCTGTATTCAATCTTTTAAAAATTCAGCTCAGAAATAGGGTTTTATTTAAAAAATTAATTCTACACTAAATTGTATTTTTACAGGACAACCACTTCTGTTTTACTTGTGTTCTGAAAACATTTTAACTCAACTGGGATGATTTTTTCACATGGTAGGTGTCAAACGTTTTCAACACTGACATCTATGCTGACTCAATGAAATAAGTCTTGGTTTGATTTCAAAATTTCTCATAAAATGAAGAAAAAATCCTGACCTGTTGTAGGCACCGTGACCAGAGCAAGGTGAAGTAACAGCCTCACCAGAGGGCTATGAGACAGAGGTTGGGCCAATATTACTTTGTGTAACAAGGCCATAATGACAGGCTTCTGTTTCCTGAGGGGGGTTCTCACTTTAAGATTTAATTTCTCTTTTTGAAGTTTTGTTGCATGCTGGTGTGTGTGTTTCCCACACATGGACCCTACGGGATCTGCGAAGCTTTGGGGGCCAGGTCAGCTGAGAGAGGGCCCTTCACAGCCTGAGGAGGTTTGCAGAGGTTGCCCATGTATGTCAAACAGCCCTTAAAATTTTTTGGATCTCCCAAACCAAGAACTTGTCCTACTCTTACTTCTCCAATGACAAAATGCACCCTTGTTCAATAGAATCAGAATCAGGCTCTTAATTAGGGGAGTGCAGATGGGAAGATCTGCTTCCCTTCTCCAAGTGCTCCTCAGCTGAGTCCTGGCAGACCTCAGCTGCTGGCAGGAGTCTGTTACCCATGAAACAAGCCCATTTCTGCTGCTCATTGCATTTCACAAAAAAAAAATACCATCATTTGGGAAAGAAACCTTACAATACTTCAGCCTTGCCTGCATCCCTTTTGTGTAATATGATCTGGATTTCTCTGCTTGTCTCTTTTAATGACAAATGTTCACTTCCTTATATCGAGGAAGTAAAATGGAAAACAAGATGACATTATCACAATCTGTTAATAGTCAACTTTGTGCCCTCTATTAGCAAAGGCAGTATTCCCTAATGCTGCAAAGTGCTGCATTTATTAAGGAACTTAATAAATATTAAGGAACAGTCAATTATCTGACTTTCTCAAAGGATTCCTTGTTTCTCCTTACTTTAAAAAAAACCCATAAAATTTTTTGGTTTTGACCATGTAAATTGGAGATGAAGCTTTCTAGAACTCTTGGCTTTTTATAAAAACCTGAATGTGGAAGAGAAATGCCAGGCTTTAGGTGTATTTGGAGTTGAGCGTCTCCTCCAGTTTACACTCATCAACACCCTCACTATTTTAAACACAACACCATGAAAAAGGCACTGGTAAACAGTGTACAATAAGAAGTCCCACTTTATCTCTCAGAGGGCAGCAGTGCATCACACCAGGTTTCTCCTCCACAAAGCAGCAAACAGGACACTGTCAAAGAAATATTTCTGAGTTGAATTTACGTGTGGTTCTTTGTTCCCTTTGATTTTGATCAGATTACTTTTGTTCAGCACAAGTTATTTTCAAGTTCTAGAACAAAAACCACTTGAATCTGACACACTCAGCATTGTAGAGGCTGAGCATCTCTTTTGCTTTTTAGAGGGGAGAAAAATACAATGTAGAAAATACAAAATTAGTACAAGCAGAGTCAGAAACCAGTGTCAAGCCTGATCATAAATTACATTACATAAATTATAAGTTTGTCTTATTTGGAAGAAAATCTTAGCAGCTTTTAAAAACTCAAATTTTGGAGATTTCAAGGTAAACAAAGTAAGTGCCTAGAAGGATTGGCCTAAGTAGAAAGTGCCTTGGCACTCGTGCAGTGGTGAAAAAGTGATGTGGATTTGTCACGTCTGCATCCAACTGTTCCTGTTTCTCATAAATGATTGACTTTTCAAGTCTCATTACCCTGGCCTGGCTCACAGAAATGCCAGCATGGGGGGGAAGCTCAGACCAGCCTGAGTGTCTTCTGTGACAGTGCTTGAGATCCCAGGGGTTTGTGCCCAAACAGGGTAACCTGAGCATGGGGGTGCTCCTGCCACTTTTAGGTGGAATTTCTACTCCTCTCCTTTGGATTTCAGCAGACTTGAAATTCCTGGAGGATCTGAGGGGGAAACGTGGCTTTCCCAAGGTATGGCCAGGCAGCTGCTCCTACAGATGTTGGGCAAAGGTAGAGAGTCACCTGTCACAGAATCATGGAATCCCAAAGGATTTGGGTTGGAAGAGACCCTAAAGCTCCTCTCATTCCACCCCTGCCACGGGCAGGGCATTTCCAGCACTCCAGGGTGATCCAAGCCCCGTCCAACCTGCCCTGGATGTGTACAAGAATTGCAAGCCGTCCTTTCAGCTCCCAAATCACACATTCTTCTCCTTATCTCAGACAAACCATGGTAAACACTCCAGAGCTCAACTCCAAGCACTGGAACCTCCAGAGAAGGATCTGGCAGCAGTCAGAGCTTGCTCTGGCCATTCACAGGGCCGATGACCTGACAGGTTCCAGCCATGGCTCTGCTCCCTCAGCCTCACCTGGGGCTCTCCCCAGCCCCAGCCAGTGCCTCAGTGCTGTGGGACCACGGGGGCTTCTCTCCAGGTGTTGGACAGAAACATCCTTCTGCTTTTCCAGTGTTTTTTGGACTACAGTGAGGTGTGCAGCACACTGCAGCTCCATTTGCTCTGATGGCAGAGAGCTTGGCATTGATGGCTCCCAAAATTTCTGCAGCTCCACCTGCTGATGCAGATCCTCTCTCAAAGCACTGGAGTCCTGTCTGCAGACCCTGCCCTGGGCAGGGCACCTTCCCAGGCTCTCTGTACCTGTGTCTGAGCTCTGCACGGTCAGGCACCACCCTGGGGTGCCAGCTGTCTCAAGGGGAAGCACTGAGAGGGTCCCAGGTGGGTGCAGACTCAGGGGCAGCTTCTCTCCTAACACTGAGCACAGTTATACACACCCCACGCACACCTCGGAGCCTTCATTCTGCAAACACTCACTGCATGCCCCTGAGTTTGGATATGAATGTTTGCTAGACTGGGTTTGGGCTGATCAGCCTGTCTGCCAGCTGCACAGACTGGTCTGCATTCTGCTTTTAATTTAGCTAACGGCACTTGGGTTTAAGTTTAATCTTTACATTTGAAAACTTTGTAAAAACTTCATTCACACAGATTAGAAATGGGAACTTATTTTTTAAAAGGAGTGCAATACCTTTGGGAAACAAAGCCTGAGCCTGCAAAATGCAGAGTGGATTTACTTGCAGGAAGTCAGTAGGTGCTCAGCAGTTTGGGATCTAAGGGTGCTTCTAAACAGCCTGTCCTGCCCTATCAGTCCCCCTCATAAATTGACTAAGCTGTGAAATAAAAGAGAGACAAATTTCTGTTTATCTCACTGGAAAACATGGGTTGTATTTTCTGCTATTTAAAGCCAAAGGGTCAGAGAGGGAGTTATCTGCAGTGACATGAGCTGAAATATGATTGGGAAAATATAAAGATGGAAAACACAGCATACCTTGCCAATTATGTGCCACAGCAAACATTACTCCTCATCTCTCTATAGAGGCCATAATTCACAGCCTGGAAAAACGCAGAGCAGAACCCATCCCCTGCCTGCTTCGGGCTTTGCCTCCTCCTTCTTTGGTAGACTACAAATGGTCTGCCAGGATTTTTTATTTTCATTTTTCTTTAATCTAGCACAAGTGATTAATAAGAATGGTAGCTTAAAAAAAAAGAAGTATTCTCTTCCTAATTTTTTCTTCCCCTTCTGTACAAAGTTTGGGGGGTTGGTGCCTTAAAATAGTGTATTCAGTTGGATTTAAAAGGATGGTTCCCTATAAAACAGCACTGTGGCTTTACAAAGATTAGTACAAGTAAATAAAGTACAGAGGGGCTTTAAGAGGCATTCAAGACTCAGGGGGTTTAGGCCCTGCCCACTTTCATGAGCTAAAGTTCCTTTCATCAACACATTAAACTCTTGCAGAGGAAACACTCCAGCTAAAGTGATTATTTCTGAAAATACCCCCTTTAAATTCATAAAGTTACTACTCAAGACATGTGCACTGCAAAACCCAGAGCCATTATTTTGGAATTCAAATAAGTCTCCCCTTTTGAGGGGCTCTGAGCCCCCAGACTCCAGCGCTCCTGGGGGACCCTTCCCTGCCACAGATCTCCCAGCTTCCCAGTCAGA